CCCCCCCCCCCCCCCCCCCCCCGGAGACAAATAAGGCCTCCCTCCCCCCGCGCGCGCGCGACCAAGATTGAAACCTAAATCTGGGGTGTTCGATGGTTTCCACATGGAGGGCCCCCTTCTACTGAAACAAAAGCGTGCAGCTCCTCGCCGGAGCCCTCCCCCCTTGACAGGCAGACCTCTTTTGCGGAACTCCCAAAACCGACAACGCTTAACTTCTTCGGTTGGACTTTTTGAACGAACTGGCAATCGGACACACGTCACAACAGCGGTACTTGTACCGTGGGGTGCGTAAGGTATTACACACCTTGGGCCGATTCTCAAAGCCCGATTACTCCACGACGGAGAGGATGCCATAACGAATGGTGCAACATCGGAAAGCTCTCGATGAGACGATTCCATCGCTTTCCACCATTTTCGGCACTGTCACTGCTGCTATGGCTGAGTAATCGACCTTTGAACATCGGTCAAAGCGGGTGTGGTACGTTAGGCAGTCTGCGGTATGCGTACGCCTTTCAGTATGCTATTATTGTCTGATCCTGCATGTAGTAGTATTGCTGTTGTCAGACGCGTAGGCGAAATGTTCCATTTTTGGCAAGGGGACATCAAGTCATTACCAGATCTTGAGGGGTTTGGCTCTACGTGGTGTCTCAGATACTAGTTTATCAGACCAATCTTTTTGGGACAGAGTCTTGCGTTTTCTCCAACCAAAGATTTGCTCCCAACATATGACCGCGGAAGAAGTTTTGTATCGCTCTCTATGAGTAAAAATGTGCAACATGTTAGGAAAAACAAGTACAACCACAGAAAGACTACGAGCATGTGTTGAATGCTGAACCAGCGGTGTGTTGTTCCTCTCGTCTCCTTGAAGTTGATGAAAAGACGCAACGGGGCCACTTGGCCTACAAAACATGCCACGGTGTGATGAAAACTGGGCATGACGCAGCCAGTTGTAGAAGCCGTCGTCCTTTCCATAGCTGTATACAGGCCTCAACACTGCGGGTGGGTACTAGCGGTGGGCGCCCACATGGTGTGCAATAATAAAATACCTTGGCCACGGTCTGTTCGGGAAGAGAAGCATTATTGCTCCATGGCGATCCCATCTCCAACGCAAAGAATGTACTTCGACCCGACAGCCGAAAGCAATCAATCGGTGCTTATCTCGGTTCACAGTAAGCGGACGGAGTTAAAACCTTCGGCGAGGTCATCTGTACTCACGGGCGTATTTCGGTTGCAAGCGGATAGGGTATGGGGTGATGAGATTATGTGCCACGTTTTTGTGCGAAACAAACGGCAGAAAAAAAGGCAGAAGAAACAAGTAGAGAGAAACGTCGCACACGACTGACCTGTGTTGGAAAAAAGTTCCTCCTGCGCTGTCATCTAATTGATAATGGATCAAGGAATGGTTCGTGGTACCAGTCAGGGATTTTTTCTCTGGGAAGAAGAACCCCACGACCACCTGATAAGCACCTCACTTGCATCCGAGTATAAGAGTTAGTAGAGGTAGCAGCATCAAAGGTTTGGCCTCCAGGAGTCACGTACGGATTGAGAGATGTACATGGGTGTTGCCCACTCTCAATTTGGACATGTGCTCTCTCTGTTGAGGACGCGCGCGGCACAAGCCAGGGCAACTGTTTTGTTTTGGGCGTCTTGGTCGTTTTGCCATGCGTAGCGTCGACGCAGCAAAGCCAGGGTGCCTTGGAGGCCCTTGCGAATGTGCCACATGCAGATTCCATAGCGATGTGGACGACAAGCTTGACGAGCCTTCGTAGTCTCGCCGCACCCACCAAAGACTGGTCAGGTTGCTCCGACGATTTGTCCACAAGCTCGAATTGACGCATCTTGGTGCCAAGATTCATTCGGAAGGGCAACGTTTGAGCTCTGGGCATATCTTGACCAAGATCTGGCGGAAGACGCTGTGACCGAAAACAGTGATTCAGCCAGTCTTGGGCCAATCTTGGCCCAACATCAAGCATTAGACCCAAGATTAAAGAAAAGATGGAACTCATGGCCCAATTTTCTCTCGAAGGACCAAGAAGAGCTGCAGTGTTGCACCTAAGAGACGCGTGCTACAATTTTTTTGTAGATTTTTTGAAAATGCGTTGTGTATGCATTGCACCATATCGTGCCCCCCTGGTTCTGGCGGAATCGGTCTAGTGCTGAGTATGACATGACGTGAGTTTATGTAGAGCAAACCCCGTTTCGAACCGCGTTTCACCTCGACTCAACCCGAATAAAAAAGAAAGCATTGCCCAAGGAGGCACGCACACAGCGAACCGCACTCACACCGCTGTTTCAGCCACGACTCAAGGTCTTCGATAGCACCGTGCCGTTAGAAATCTGATCTAGCCTGGGTCTTGTCGAGATGCACGAACGTAAAACCGGCCGCCCGCCCGACCGCCCGCCCTGACCTCCTCACATTATGTTGTGCCCTCTCACACACAACCGCCCCCCATCCTGCCCCCGCTCAAGGTGGTCGTCCTACCAGAGTGCTGGAACGGCCCATACGACACGGCGTCCTTCCCCGTCTACGCCGAGCCAGTGCCCGACCCTCAGGGAGATGAAACCACCGCAGAAATGCCGTCGGCGGAGCAAAGCCCCTCTGCCGCTATGCTCTGCCGCGCCGCCGCGGAAAACAAGGTGTGGCTCGTCGGGGGCTCCGTGCCAGAGGCGGGGAAAGACGGCGGGGTCTACAACACGTGTATCATCGTGGAACCCAGCGGGAGGATCGCGGCCAAGCACCGCAAGGTGCACCTGTTCGACATCGACGTGCCCGGGGGCATCACGTTCAAGTGAGAGTCTTGGCGCTCTGCTCACGAGCGTTCGTCATTGCGCTCTCTCTCGCGCGGGCGGTGGCGCAACGTACGCGTGTGTCTTGCTTGCTACCCCGCTTTGCGGCACCCACGACAGTGGTTCGCACTCCAAGGGTTTTTGTTTTCCGGTGGCCTTGCGCGTGGGCGTTGGATAATCAGGACCCTGGAAAGTCGCTTTCGCCTGATTTTTCGTCCCCATCATACCCAGGTCGCCCCGGTGGTCTAACGGTATCCTCGTTATCCGCTAGTCGCAGAGGTCGTGAGTGCGAATCCCCATGGGGTGAAAAAATTACGAAATTTGTGGGTGAAAGCGAAATACAGCTGACAAGCTCTCGTGAGTACCAAACTTCGACGTTAGCACCGTTGACGAGGGAAAGGGACGGCTGGACCCTTCTCGGGATAAAAATAAAATTCAGCACGCACCGCAGGAGGAAGGTGGGGCGCGAAAAGAAATAAAAAGAAGAAGAAAGCCCTGGTGTTTGCCCCCTCCTGTGTGACCCTGGATGGAAGTAGTTGTACGAAAAGATACACTGAAAAGTGTAGTACTCTACATACGCTGAAAAGTGTAGGACACGTCTCACCACGAAAAATGGGGGGACTGTCGCCATAATAAATAGGACGAAAACACAGCACACACCCAACACTCCGACCACACCGCCACACCAACAGCAGCGCAGACTCTTGAATCGTTCCAACTGCCCCCGAATGCTGCGCCCGTCCCCCTCTCGCAGAGAATCTGACACGCTGAGTCCAGGCGACTCCATCACCACGGTGGAGACCCCCTTCGGCACAATTGGGGTAGGGATCTGCTACGACATGCGCTTCCCGGAGCTCAGCATGGCCATGCGGGCGGCGGGAAGCGTACTGCTGTGCTTTCCAGGGGCTTTCAATATGACCACCGGGCCGGCACACTGGGAACTCTTGCAAAGGGCTCGTGCTCTAGACAACCAGGTAGGAATGGTGGCACGCAGTATTCTGATTAGTCGAAATATACCTGCGGCGCAGTTCACAGGCCGGGCATTAGCACGAAACCGTCGAGTTGGATTTATTTTTTCTGCGGCGCGAGCAGGCTTCTGGTTTTCGTGTGTCTTACGAGCACCGGGGCATCTACAGCAATGAAGGATGAAGGCACGCGCCTACCAACACATGATTCATTTGTTTTTTCCCGCGTGCTCCGCTGTCACTGCATAATGCTGGCATTCGCTCCTGGATGATCTGGCAGGTTGAAACCGCCTTGGGCCTAGTCCAGTTATGTCTCGACACGTCGCCTCATATCCTGGTTTTCGCTTGGTTATTGACACCGCGCCCCGCGCGCATTGCCGTACCCTCGTTTTTTGTTCGTTATCCTTGGTCTATCCCGGGGCGCGGGCACTCAATAGTGCTACGTGGTGACTGCATCTCCCGCTCGAAACCCGGACTCCAAATACCAAGCTTGGGGACACAGTTCAATCGTCGACCCATGGGGCACCATTGTCGCGACAACAGAACACGAGGAGGCTATGTTGGTGGCGGAGGTAGACGTCGGCCGGGTAGCGGAGGTTCGAACGAGCATCCCCGTTTCCCTCCAGAAGAGGCCCGATTTGTACCGGCTGGAGTTGCCGTAGAAGTTTCTAGAGGTACTGCTACCGCTCGCGATAGTGTATCACAGTTGTTAGAAGTCTTTGTGCATTGAGTTTGGGAGGAATACTGCTGGATACTCGGATTGTTTTTGAGTACTCTTGATGGTTGAAGCACTTAATGGTCTATTCTCTTTTACTCCATCATGGTTTTGTACTATAATGGTGCCGTTGCGCTGTTGCCACCCACGCGCGATCAGAGTAACATCGAATTCAATAGCGAGTGTTGGTTTGGAACTGGTCAGAGTCGAGCCCGCTTTGTGTTTCCTATAGTAAGAGTTGACACGATCCTTCCTTCGATAGCATTGTCAGCAATGTCTTTCAAGTGGTGCACACGATGCAATCGCTAGGTCGAGGCTGCAAACAGGAGGAAACCTCGTGTGTGAGTGGAATATAGTCTCGATGGCGGCCGCGTCATTGGTTGCTTCTACATAGCTGCGGCGAGAGTCGAGTTGTTGCCGCGTCACCCCAGTTCTTTCAACACCACATTCGTGCGGTTCGGTTCATGGAGAAATGGACGGGAACCTCTCCCTTGTGGTCTTCGACCATTTAATCCAAGGTCCACAACCCCGTACGCACGAAGCACGCACACGGACACACGATAACAGCACGTTGAGTACCGAGCAGATCGACAAACTTCTCGACAAGCTGCTCGTTGTGTTTAAGCCACAGCAGCAGAAAACCAGTTGGGACTGAAATCGACCGGCGATGCTCTTGGCAGCACCCACATACTAAATGTGCACACCTGATACCGGCAACACCGGACCAACCAGCAGAACCTGGGGTAATGTAGTTTAGCGTTTATGCCGGGGGGCTAGGAGGGGCTAACAATTTTCGGCACAGCAATATTCTGAGAAACCCGAGACTTCGGAATGATGTAGTCTAAAGACCGAATAACAGGGGTTCACTTTTTTTTTCTTCTTCTGCGAGAGCTTAGCCCGGACAAAGCAAAATCAATGATGCATATGCACACATCCTTCACATCTTGCGATATTTCTCATTGGCCAAAGCCAACATGCGTCACCGTGTACCTTGCGGCAACCCTGCCAACCAACAAGAATGCAGGGATCTTTTGTACAACAGTCTAGGACGTGTTATTCATGTTTCGCGGTAATATTTCACTTTCGAAATTTCGAAATTCAAAGCGAACGATCAACAGTCTGCTCACGGAGGACACAGTTCAACGCTCCGATTGGGTGCGGCGTTGCCCCCGTGCCCCTACAACCGACATATAGATGAGGGTTCAGGAGGGTACGGGTAGCAGTGCAACCTTTTTCACTTTCTTGGATGTGCACGCGTGTGTCTGCAAATTCAAAGTGCAAAGAAGGCATAGATTCGAACAACACTAAATTAGACTGCCAGCAAGCGGAGCTGGTGCGGCGGAATCGCCCTCCAGATCTCGAAAAAAAACGTGAAACCGCCACTTTCGCCGACTAAACAACAGGAGATAGGTGTGCTGCGACGAATCCTGGTGAAGCCCCAATTTACGCCAGAGGGCAGTATCTACAACCTTCAGGTTCAACGCCCCGTGACTACCATGGAGCTACCAGAGAGCGCCTTCGGTTTCGTAAGTTTTATATCCTGCTGAATGTTTGGCCTCCCGTGCCGGCCAAATGCCGGGCTCGCCCGTGTTTGAGTAGTGTCTTCGTCGAAAATCACGCACACGGAATTATTTGTCGACAGAATCCATATATTTTTTCTAGCGTGCAATACGCCACCCGACCTCACTCTTCTACGTGTTGTCTCAGCGGAACATCAAGCCGATGACAAGACCAGAGCGGAGGGCGCTCAAAGATAAGGTTGCACTCGAAAAGGGAAGGTTGATGCAGGTGAGCCAGAGTCGCATTCCGAGGTGGCTACATTTTCTGCTGCAGATCACATAGTCTATCCGCGTTCGCACATGTCCGCATACATATGCATTGTACGTAAGCTTCAGGTGCTAAGGATACAAAAACACATTGGGGTCACTAACATTGAGCCCAGGTACGGCCTCCTTCTTCACAGCCAATGAAAGGGCCCGCCCATGGATGGATACATCCACTCGCACTGCACTTGCCGAAACAAGAATCCACGCGTCGGTATGACATCTTCCGACCATTCCTAGACTGAAAAAGCTTGGGTGTTTATGCACTGCAGTCGGCCATTGCGCAACATGCGCAATGTGCCGCGGTAAGATCTGATTGTCGACAACCCGACCCGCACGCCTGATATGCGGTCAAACTTTCCTAACATATATGCATACAACAGCCAGCACGGGAGCCGATAAGCAGCCGCCACCTGTCTGTGCGATCATATAGACTAGACTGTCACCTTGCAGAAGGTGCCACTTGATACCACAGCAGTGATATGCAAACCACTCATTTCGTGCAGTGGATATGTTTATGATCAATTAATGCGCCTCATGAGTGCCGAAAGCGCCAAAGCCCTAAAAGGCCTGTCGTCGCAAAACACAGCAGATTTCCGCAGTACCACACGACAGTAGTGTCAAACCCGGCTCACCCAATACGCGTGTGGCAACGACGGTGGTGTGCGCAGAGGGCAGGGCAAGCAGCTAAGATGAATCGCGATAACCTCCCGCCAGAAGGGGTCTCACTCACCGAGTGCACACCTGACGCGGCTGGCTTCATTGCTGGTGGGTGGACACGCACTGGAAGACAGGAGGGGGAGGGTTATGGTCCAGAGGCAACTTTTTCAATGTCGGCAACCCTTTGGCGATCTTGAGCCCACAATTTGCTGACGATGACGTGATTACTCCGCCCGAAGAGATTCTTATTAGGGGGACTTCTCGGCGTTCGCTGGGCAGCGGCTCGCACCGAAACCGGGCATACCAGTATATTCAGCGCTCTTCCAGATTTCCATTTACAAACCTTCCTGATGTGCAAATACTTGCCGTTGTCACCACCACTTCCACCATCAATTGTCGGATGCTGATACGTAGATGCTGATCGATTTCACTCGGACACGGTCGGGGAGGAGCACCTACGCCGAAAGGCGCAGCACGAGAGAAAGGTCCAAATAAACGAGAACCGCAGGCAGGTATGAAGAATATCGTCAACACGTTTCCAGCATTGGGATAGCGCCCTTCTTTATGCATGAATGTTGTCTGGCACTGCATTATTTCGGTGACCCTGCAGTCGGTCACAACCAGAGGAGGAGCTTGCAGAGCGGCTTCATTCTGTGGTTATTTTCCGTGTTCCGGTCCGGTTAAACGACACTGCGCGTGTCTGTATGTTGCCTTGAGCCACACCGTTTTGGTGCCCTACGTGAGCGCCGGGGTTCGCGGGACGTGGACAATCCTCATTCCAACAATATTGGCTACCCCCGTTGCTCTCGTTGACGCTTCGGACGACACCATAACTTGCATCAGTTGCGAGTGGAACGAGAAGGGAAGCGTTGGGAAGACATGGAGAAAAAGGAGGGGGACGACGAGCAAAGGTGGAACCGGCTTCGAGAGGAGGGGGAAAAGAGCAAGAAAAACAAATCGGGGGTGCCGTACAACATGATCAGCCTCAGGTGAGCAATTGACACAAGGACCGCCAGCAGGGTGGGATAGGAACACGCCAGCCCAGGTGCCTTTCGTCGGCTATTTCGAGTCTCGCATATCGCACTCGCTCACAGCGTCAACACACCCGATTATACGGGAACCATGAAAAATTGTATTATCCTTTTTCATGGCGCCCGTGATTACCGGTGCAAGTGGGCTACGTTGAGACAATCTCACGCACGATGTGTTTTCGAACCAAATTGTGCGTAGCGTTTAACCAACCGTGGGCGCGCCGAAAGCAGTTCAGTTGGGAGCAACACGCTTGTGATCATTCTACCCACATTGCGATGCGAACCCCCGTTTGTTCCCCCCACGGAGTCAGGCGATGCCTACAAGGGTAGCAGAAAACCCAATATGGAGCCGGAAACTGCCATCCCCCATGCCGTGACGACGCCATAAAGCACAGTACCCCAAAGTTCCGGCGCATACTTTCCTCGGCACTGCTGTAATTAATCTTCCATGCTTCCAAAAGATGAAACGACTGGGACGGATCACCAACAATACCCTACCTACAGGGGTTGCACCGGGGAGTATCCGCGGGTGCCTTGTGTCGGCGCTGTTCCCCTAGGCCTTCGGACTATCCTGGTCCTGAGATCCCTAGATGTAAGCCGCCGTCCTTCTCACCACATACTTTTTCTTCTGCAGGTACAATGACGGCCTCGACGGGGACCGGCTAGAGTACGCCGACAACATCACCAAGCACAGGGCTCAGGTCAGATCCAACAATCTAACCCGCCTTGGGGACTCGAGGTGAGCGGCACCACGTTGCTATGGCGGCGATCCCTCGAAAAAGTAGAGATAACACGTGGGCAAATGTAGCAGCTGGTGTCGCCTCTTTGGATTTGGCACTCGAGAGAGAGACAGCAGCATTCAACCGTGTTGACATTGTCCAGACAAACATTTCCTGTGCCGGGGTTCCACTATTGGTCTTCCCCATCGTGACAACGACCAAAACCTAGCACACTTCCTTCAATCGAACCTCCCACATGAACGTGAGCTGGCAATGTCTGCCATTTTACATCTCATACAAGATTTGCTTCGCTCTCGCTGTGGACGACAGGTGCGGATACAACATCTTGACGGGGCAGCCGAGGGAGGAGATAGTAGACCCGCCGGCGCCCAAGCCAAGCGACGCCGTCGCACATTGGAGCCATCACCAGGGGGGGCGCTAGACCGGCGGGGGGCGTCGGCTCAATGCCGCCGGGGCTTGGTTAGGGAGGAGCGTACCTCACCCACCCTACAGGTGGAACGCATGCTGTAACTCGGCGAATTTCTCTTGCAATTGACTAGCACGTAGAGGTGCGCGCTATGAAAAGCACTGGCCTGGGCAATGTTGCGCGCGCGCGCTGCATGAAAGATTTTGGCCTGAGCAATAAATGTCGCGTGTATACGACGGGATTGCCGTTTCTGCGGCGAAACATGCCAGACGAGACTTTGTGTGAAAGTGCGAAACGAATACACAGTACCCCGCCATCATGGCGCTGACAATTGCTTATGGTTGCGGCTAGCTGCTTGACGGTGGTTGCCGTTCGTGTGCAAGCGCGTTGGGGCTGGTCGGTATGTTTCAAAGTGAATATCGGTGATATAATCACCCCCTCATTGATAACGCCCGTGGAATGCACTGGAAAACCCTTGCCAAAAAACAAATCTGCCACGTACTGGTTGGCCTCCACGCACTCACGCGAGCCCTTGGCCGCTGAAACAACCTCCCCGGCGGCGGCACCGATACAAGAACCAATCTACTCCGACGATCAAATCGATACGTAGTCGTGAAAACCTCCTCACTTCTAGACGGCGGCAACTATGGCGAGGCTGAACAAGAATTCCAACATCCTTGATCGGAACAATGGACCCTTGTCTAGCGCCTCCAGCTTCTAGCTCCTATGTCGTCAGCACATCAGCACTTCCCAGAAGAGAACGCTTGACACACTCCAGACGGAGCTGCTACGCGCTCAAAAGTCCGTCCCTATCGCCGCTTGTATATGCAAGCCTGTGTCGCGAGGTTCGAAGCAACCATGCGTCGGGGTATATCCGGAGGCAGGGACGTGACGGGTGTTATGGTTACCGGGTATAACGCACAAGGTGTATCGCCTCCGCCAAGAAAAGTATTTCGATGTATGCATTAATCCGAAGAGGGGCTACCGTAGCTCCCAATGCACCCGAACTCCATCGGTTAAATACCCAGCACCGGTGCCCCCGGCCATCTGCATCCCTCCTTCGGCCACACCATTATCAAGACTCGAAAATACCTTCCAATGTAACGTTCAATTCGGAAGCTTAGTCGAATATTCTGAATGAATGATAATACCACAAGAAGGGGAACAACAACTTCTAGGTCGACGCCCGCGACTTCAAAGCAGACGAGGAACAAACAGGGCTTGGGGAATCGAATAAATCGTGGCCTGCCACGGATGCTGCCGAACGTTTTGTGATTCGCTAACTTGGGATGCAGACAAACACCATACACGCTGACACGCTAGAAGAGCGTGTGGGCGCTGTTGCCTGCTGCAAAAGACTTACAACGCTTCATGGGTTAGCCCGTTAGCAAGGCCAGTGCAAACCAAAGAGGCTCACACACACGCGAGCGCGCCATGACAAGGAATCGTGTCTACGCATTTTTTCCAGCTTGAAAGCTGATGCCTCTCTGTATGCCATCAGGATAGCACGGTCGATGCCAATGAAAGAAACGAACACACGCACACACATGTGTCTGTCTTCAATCCGGAGACCAGCCTAGCCTCCCCCTCGGGGTCCCAGATCATGACCTTCGTAAGGGTTTCTGTTTTCAGTCGCACTGAGACTGACGTCTCCTCATTGGTCAGTCGTTTTGCGCCGTCAATCCAAAAACTAGAGACATACAGATACATGTTAAGACAATGAACACAACAACAGACACACACGCACTCTATGGAGGCGACACACACTCGCATTCCTTTGAAGCGACAAGTCAGCTCACGGATACATGTTAAGACAATAAACACAACAACAGACACACACAAGCACTCCTTGGAGGCGACACACAATCGAATTGCTTTGAAGCGACAAGTAAGCGACGGCGACGGTTTTACCTTAGCCTCGAACTCGACGCCCCTCTCCGGCTTCCGACCGGACTTTTTGAACTCCGCGAGGAGGAACATCTTGTTGGAGCGGTCCATCTGCATCGTGTCGAAGCCGAGCCGCTTCGTCACCTCCAAGAAACGCTCCACCCCGCCCTCCTCTCCCTCGAACCTGCTCCTCACCTCGGCCACCTTGGTTTGCAAGCCACACGGAGGAATGGTTGGGTGGAGCGTTCGGTTGGCCCGCATCGGGAATTGGCCTGCATAGGGTATGGCTTGTCGCATCGGGCATTGGCCCGCATAGAGTATGGTTTGTCCCCGAGAAACCATGCACGTACAAAAAAAAAACATCCGGATGTCGGATAGAAACATCAAAGAACACCACAACAACATCGTCATCAGCAACGATGACAACGAAGACAACGGCGACATTTAACAACAACGACAGCAGACAGGAGACAGCCACAACAACACCGAGGAGCTCTAACATGTAGTCTACACCCTACCCCCTCCCGCGCAAGCCTGCGCACCTTCACGAGCCCCCCCGGGACGAGCACCCGATGAGCCTCGCGCAAAAAGTCCGCGAGGTTAGTCCCCATGAGTGAGAGGCAGAAGATGGCCACGTGAACCGAGGCGTCCTTGATCGGGACGTTGGCCATGTCGCACGCGGTCACCAGCGGGTTGGGTGACACCAAGTCGAACGAGTGCACCTGCCGTATTGTCAAGGACAAATCACCAAAGTCGAGGGGGAGGGGATGGGCGCATGAAAACCCGGATGAAAGCAGGGAGACAACAATGTGCAGCACAGCACGCGATTCACTGTGCGAACTTCTTTTCATAGCACCTGCAGGGCGACGGCAACGTGTTTCCTTTCCATTGTTTGCTGCGAGAAAGGAGCCGCAAAGTCGGGGAACAAGGAGAGGAGTCGACAAAGCCGAATCACCCTGTGCGACGCCAGTGACCAAAAACTGCCACTTTGCGGGAAAATATAACAAATAACGCAACATGACTTCGGCTACCCTAGAAATCCAGGGGCGAAAAAGACAGATGGATACCTGACGATGACGGACAGCACATTGCTGATGCCTTTGGGCCCCTGCAGCAGTACCACACCTTGTTGGGCACCGTCGCCGCAAGGCGCGCCTCCCCGCAGCCAAAGTCGGCCACTCGCGCCTTCGGGTACTTCTTCAGCCAGTCGATGATGATATCCAGCGGATGCACCGGCCACTTCTCCACCTGTTCTCGGAATCCTCTGTGGTACTTTTGTAGAGAGGTTCCGTCGGGAGTATTTCGATGGCGGAGAGTACGGCGAGGGGGGGGAGTCAGGTGACTTGGGCGGAGGAAACAGCAGATGCAATCGTGGGAGCCGAATGAGGGTTGATTGGTGCAGCAAACGGACATAGTGCAGCTGCTGCTAGTGGTTTCCTGCTGGTCCATGGACTCTGAATAACTGCTGCATTCTGGCAGTTTTCGATCACATCACGCAAGCGTTGGTTGGATGAGACCTGCTTCTTCCTCCCCCCCCCCCCCCCCCCCCCCCCCCCCCCCCCCCCCCCCCCCCCCCCCCCCCCCCCCCCCCCCCCCCCCCCCCCCNGGCAACCAGGTTGCCGTGTTTGTTTTTACCTCTGTTTTTTTTTTGGCGGTAATCATACAAATAATGGTGGTCGAGTATATCATGTTGTGCGGGGTCGAGAACCCTCACTCCGCGCAAGGGAGGATGACCTCACCACGTTGTGTTAAAATGGTCACGCATCCTCGAGGCAGTTACACAGTGCTTACAACTGTCTCTGGAGGTGGAACAACCAGAAAATAAATTAAGTCATACGCAGCTGTCATCCGTACGCAAGGAAGTAAGCACAAGATGTCGAACACCCTTAGCAGGATGCAGCGCACCCTTCATGCGACTCGCCGAATATCTCACGGCGCTTCGCGCTTGGTGATGTGAGAGCCTGGTCCGGTGAGAACCCGGCGTGCTCCGTCCCGGCTTTGTAGGGATGCGAGGTCAATGGTCTAACGACTACGGCATGCACGACTATGAGTACCCCCCCCCCCCCGACGGGCGGACCTTCCCGAACTTGTCCCGCGTACACATACCTCTTCTTCTGCGCCAGGCGGGGGGACAGGTTATCGCCTAAAACAAAAACACAAAAACGAAGTAAGCTTGAACCCTATCGCCTAGCGCACGCCAAAATTATGCGACAAAGTGGGGGTCCAACGGCATATCGTAAGTCGCTTCGTAGAAGCTACCTTTCATGCGTTTGGAGCGTTCCCTTGCTGATGATCGGCCCTACGTAACGTTCCGCGACATGCTGCGTGTGTCCAACCAATAAGTGTATTTTTTTTCGTATACTGGGGTCACCGACAAACGTTTAATCTATCCGACACCTTGGTACTAACACACGTTTCCGCAAAGTAGTCCTGACGACCAAAAGACTCTGAGAAACCCAAAGAGTTGGCTTTGACCAGTAGGGCGTCCAAAGGATTGATGTTACAACGAGGCAGGGCTCAAAGCCTCCACTCTCTTCTCACCACATCAAAAAGTTCCGGCTCTTGCTTGAATTTCGCGAGCGAGGCCCCGCTCTCCGACGTATACAACGTCTCGTTGATCATGCGAAACTGGGCGCCCTCCAGTTTCTGCCGCATGCGCTTCTGCAGCTCCGACAGCCTTGGAGCGCCCGACCCAGACCCTGCCGCCGCCGCCGCCGCCGCCGCCGCCCGCCCCGCTGTGTTGCCTCCCCCAGAAGGTGGCGATCCTTTCGTTTGCACGGGACTTATCGGCATCTTGTCGTTATTGGTGCTGCTATTGTGGCCCGCCTCCCTTGCCTTCTTGGGTCTCTTGGTGCGGTGTCGGTTGCTGCTGTCGACGGGTGGCACCTGTTCAGCATGGCGCGGCGGAGGCGCTGGTGACGATGAACAGGTTGGTGTTGGTGTAGTCGCTGATGCTAATGCCGGTGCTGCAGCTGCTGCTGCGGCTGCTGCTGCTTCCTTTCGACGACGACCCTTGCTCTTCTTCTTCTTCTTCTTCTTCTTCTTCCCACCGTGATCGCTGCATCTCTCGACCGGCGGCACATGTTCAACATCGCCAGGATGCGTTGGCGATGAGCACGCTGCTTGTTGTGCGGGTGCTGGTGCTGGTGCAGCGGCTGCTGCTGCTGCGTCGTCTGCTTCCTTTCGACGACGCTTCTTGCTCCTCTCCTTCTTCCCACCGCCATCTATGCATCTACCGCTGCTGGCTTCCGAGTTAGAGTTGGACACGGTGGCCTTGGCCGAACTTGCGGCCTGTTGCTGCTGCTGCTCCTGTGGCCGCTGGTGTGATGGGCTCTCGGCTGAACCATCTCTGTGGTTGATGCTGTGGCTGCTGCTGCTATTGTTGCTGCCGCCACCCTGCTGCTGTTCGGCGCCACCAGCTGCTATCTCAGCCACCATACCCCTCTCTCCTTCCGTTTCTCTTCTTGCGTGGTCACCGCCAGGCTCCCCGAGGTTTGGGCTGTTGCCGCCGTTCCCCTTCTTTCGCTTGCTCTTTTCCTTCTTGGCTAATGACGGTCCCGCCGCGTGCTCCCGGTGCTCGTGTTGCTTCTCGCCACCCATATTATTGTGATGTCCCAAGCGCGGAATACCAACCGCGCAACAACGACACCAACACAAACCACCCTGCTAGTTCACAGGTCGGGCACGTACCCAGTTTAAAAGGAGCGCACACGCGTGTCAACAGTCAGCAGGAGGTTAGCAGGGCACAAAACGTGCGTGATGCCTGTGAGGCAGGAAGAGGCATGTTTAGATGCCTGGGAGGGGGGGACGGATTTCAACAGTCCCGCGCATACTGTAGCTGTAGTATCCACTGCATAAAAGTCAAGGCAAGGGCCGCAGTAGGAGGGCGGAGAAAACAACCCCTGTGTGACCTTCTTCTTGCGTGGTTCCCGCTGATGAGCCCAGGCTTGTATCACCAGGCGTTAAAGGACCTATGTCCAAAAAAAATACGAACTCACTTCGGAGTGCAGCGAACGAAGAGTCCAGTGTTGGCGAAAGAGTGAATTGGTTTTGGTCTTGCGGACCACACAAAAGACTGAAACCAAAACCGAAATCGGTCTTGAAAAGCTGACATTTAAAATTCATATTTGCCAAATTCGCGGGACTGTGCGGGGATTTGGGCAAATATTTGAGTTTTAAATTACCCTGAAAGGGTACGCGAAGAGCAGAATGGGTACTGCGGTGGGTCTTTTTCGGGGCGAAAATTGTCTTTTTCTCGGGTCTTTGAGGGCAATTCAGCCAAGCCCGAAGACCAAAAATCGACCCCGCCGTCGGATATGGCTGTTCGGGGTAAAAGAAATGACCAAAGTCAAGCCATTTCACCATTTTACTCTGCTTTCCCCAAACACCCTAGTTTTCCGTCGGGACGGTCGGGAGAACTATTTTTCGAACAGGTTTTCTTATCATGAACGCATACGCACACGCACCTTCCACCATCATCCACCATCCCTCTCGAACCAACAGAAGACGCATCAACGAGGAAACAACTGCTGCACATCTAGAGCACACAATGCCGGAAGCAAGCACAGCAGCAGCAATGGACCAGGAGGCTATCGTTCTCCGCAAGGAAACGAGCGAACGCGACCGCATCCTGGACAATTGGGCTGACGCGGAAGCTCTCCAGCTAACGGACGAAGAGGCCAATCTGAACGAATACCAGCGCAAGAATCTCAAGCTGCTCTTTGGAGAGACAGGTTTTAACCCCCCGGTGCCAGCCAGGAATCCCATCAGTGTAACCATGCACAACCCAAGGTTCAGCGCGGCACTCTGGGCAGTCAATACGGAAGCGTATCGCCGGAAAGGGCTGGTAAGGTGGCAGTCTTTCTAGACTACCGTACTAGAGTTGGAGGTGGAATAGTTTTTTGTGGTGGTTGCACAAAAGCACCTGCAGTAGGCTCGTGCGTCTGTTCATTGGCTGGCTCGTGTGATTTTCTCGTCGTACAGAAGAACGGGGGGCGGTCCATCATCACCA